CTCCTTCAGATGACATGTTGCTTAGCCGGGCGGAATGAAACATGACCAATGCACGCACGCAACGTAATTTATCAGTACCCTTCATTGTACAGGATAGTTCAATGTGGCCATTGAAAGCTAGCTATGACTTGTCAGCATCGTTGCTTGGAGGAATCACACGTTTCCAGCCTTTTACTTACCAGCAATGCGATTCTTCTGTACTGGTAATTACAAGTAACACCAGATATTTATATCATTCAGCGCAAACAGTACGATTTTGACAAGAAACATGAATGAACGTAAGCAACATGATTTCTGAGCACGATTCAGCATATGCAGTAGGGTTTCTTAGTAGAACTATGATCAAGCAGTATGATTTCCTAGTACCACTGAGAATAAGTAGTATGATTTCCTAGTACCACTGAGAATAAGTAGTATGATTTCCTAGTACCACTGAGAATAAGTAGTATGATTTCCTAGTACCACTGAGAATAAGCAGTATGATTTCCTAGTATACCACTGAGAATAAGCAGCATGATTTCCTAGTACCAATCAGAATAAGCAGTATGATTTCCTAGTACCACTGAGAATAAGTAGTATGATTTCCTAGTACCACTGAGAATAAGCAGTATGGTTTCCTAGTACCACTGAGAATAAGCAGTTTGACTTCCTAGTATACCACTGAGAATAAGCAGCATGATTCCCTAGTACCACTGAGAATAAGCAGTATGATTTCCTAGTACCACTGAGAATAAGCAGTATGATTTCCTAGTATACCACTGAGAATAAGCAGCATGATTTCCTAGTACCACTCAGAATAAGCAGTATGATTTCCTAGTACCACTGAGAATAAGTAGTATGATTTCCTAGTACCACTGAGAATTAGCAGTATGGTTTCCTAGTACCACTGAGAATAAGCAGTTTGACTTCCTAGTATACCACTGAGAATAAGCAGCATGATTTCCTAGTACCACTGAGAATAAGCAGTATGATTTCCTAGTACCACTGAGAATAAGCAGTATGATTTCCTAGTACCACTGAGAATAAGCAGTATGATTTCCTAGTACCACTGAGAATAAGCAGTTTGACTTCCTAGTACCACTGAGAATAAGCAGTATGATTTCCTAGTACCACTGAGAATAAGCAGTATGATTTCCTAGTACCACTGAGAATAAGCAGCATGGTCATTTGTACCACTAAGCGAAAGCAGTATGACTTCTCGGTACCACTGAGAATAAGCAGTATTATTTCCCAATACCAATGAGCATAAGCAATATTATGCTTAGTATAACTAAGCACAGGCAGGTTGATTTCTCGCTACCACAGTAGTATGTTCTTACTGAACCTCTAAACATAAGCAGTATGATTTCTCGCTACCACAGTAGTATGTTCTTACTGAACCTCTTAACATAAGCAGTATGATTTCTCGCTACCACAGTAGTATGTTCTTACAGAACCTCTTAACATAAGCAGTATGATTTCTCGCTACCACAGTAGTATGTTCTTACTGAACCTCTTAACATAAGCAGTATGATTTCTCGCTACCACAGTAGTATGTTCTTACAGAACCTCTTAACATAAGCAGTATGATTTCTCGCTACCACAGTAGTATGTTCTTACTGAACCTCTTAACATAAGCAGTATGATTTCTCGCTACCACAGTAGTATGTTCTTACAGAACCTCTTAACATAAGCAGTATGATTTCTCAATACCACAAAGTGCAGGCAGTATGATATTACTCAGTACTACTAAGCACATGCTTCATAATTTCTCAGTTTATCGGGGTACCAGTGAGCGATGCAGTATGACTTGTCAGTAGTACTAGTGAGTGAGTGAGTTTAGTTTTACGCCGCACTCAGCAATATGCCAGCTATATGGCGGCAGTTTGTAAATAATCGAGTCTGGACTAGACAATCCAGTGATCAACGACATGACCATCGATCTGCGCAATTGGGAACCGATGACATGTGTCAACCAAGTCAGCGTACCTGACCACCCGATCCCGTTAGTCGCCTCTTACGACAAGCATGGGTTGCTGAAGATCAATATTCTAACCTGTTACGGGTACAGTAGTACTAAGTACAATTTCTAAGTACGCAGTACGATTTCTCGGCATCCATTAGTAGATGCAAAATAATTTCTCAGTTTATCGGGGTACCAGCCATGGCTTCAGTACCACTGAGTTAAACTGCTATACATCTGGGCATGTTAGTCCCAAGAGAGTTTTAATACCATTACGTGGAAGCAATATACGGTCCAAGTACCAGAGTTTAAGCACCAAAAACATATTAGGCCAAGAACAATATGTCCTCAGTATCCTGAAATAACATGGGAACATACTTCACATTTGAAAACTATCAAAAGACTCAGTGCTGAGACAGCAGCTCTCACTTGTAGAAAGTATTGTATATTATCACGAAAATGATGCACCAGTCTACTGTGCTTTGCTTGATAATGAGAAAACATTAACCGTCTATGGCTTGGCGGTCTATTCTACAAACTCTACAATCTTGAAAGTACTGGAAAACTCTGGCGGATACTACGCCTATCCTATAGTTCAAAGCATTCATGTGTAAGTTTGGCTGGTTTTAAGTCCGATCTATTTCACAGGCAAGGCGTGGGCCAAGGTCGTGTTTTATCTGCCTGGCTATTTAGGAAATGAACATGTGTGAAACACTGTACCTATATGCACCGTATAATGCATGTTAGCAGGTGCGCGTCTCGATGTATCATCATGCATATGTTTGCTGCTATTTACACATAGATGTAAGGGACGTTTATCACAATGTAACCTATCAACGTAGTCTGTCACGACTGTGTTAAACTCCAGGTGTAGTACAAATTAATGTTCTATGCATGCTTGGTGATGCACAGTGGTATATTCTTGTCAACAGTGTATACAGTGAATTTATGTCAGTTTGACTTTATGCAATCATTAGGTTTAGGAGACGTAATGTCTCATTTTCTGTCTCGCCATTGTTCGCACGTAACAACTCTGCACATCCGCTGTCTGTTGTTACGCATGTTTGCGTCTATGCATTAATGAAACTATTCATGGATACAACGCATATAAACAGATCAGGTGATCTGTCGTACCAATTTTAACATATACAAATAATCACACATCTGTCCTTTTTAGTTATCTTTGCTTCCCAAAATCACAGGTAACAATGGTGACTAGCTAACACGAAGATCAAGATGGTTATAATATACTTAATCAACATAAAAGTAAATAAGAAAGTTTTTAATTTATTATTTTTTAGAAGCAATTCAACGAAAACTCCCATTAACAAATTATGAATAGAAAATCGTGTGTTTCTGCACAAGATATGTTATTGTGAAGAGCCTAGTTCTCATCAGATCTCCAGCAGCTTGGAAACCAGAGAGAATACAAGGTGTGACTTTCTCCTTGACCTCGTACACCTACCCTACATCGAGTCTTCGCAAATAGTTTGTTGTGACAAGTGTCAGAAGACAGAAGGTTTTGAAAAACATATATTCCTAATGTTTATGTCTTTTTAGCTATGAATAAAGTTAGATAAGTGAGAGAGTGAAATTAGTTTTATGCCGCTTTTAGCAATATTCCAGCAATATCACGGCGGGGGACACCAGAAATGGGCTTCCCACACTGTACCCATGTTGGGAATCGAACCCGGGTCCTCTCCGCGAAGAGCGAACGCTTTAACCATTAGGCTACCCCACCGTCCCAAAAGATGAACAGTTCCTTGTATTTACACGTGTTTATACTAGTAATCATATATATATATATATTTAATCGATAATAACCATGCATTTTGTACGCGTGAACACCCCAAGATCTATACCCTTATACTTAAATAACAAAATAGCCAATATTCAGTCAGTATAGAGGTGCGTAACCTCATCCAATATTTATTAAGAATTTTCCATTTCGTAAAATCCTACAAAATTCCTCCATAGATTATGTTACTTGTATCGGTCCGGACATAAAGGACGCCACTGACTGATACCTTGGTTTTATTCTGCCCGTTTGGAGAGTTGCCATTCTCTGTGGGGCACCTGGCTATATAATTCCCCCATTGTGCGCCGGGGTCAGCCCATGACACACTACAGCGTAAGTTGCTAGCCCTACTTGTGGAACAGTAGTGTGTTATGTCAGTCTACAGAAGCTGACGTCTTAATACTCGACTTAAAGGGATTGTACCTTATTCTGGATAATTACCATATGTTATGCCGTTCATCGAAGGGTTATGATGGGATTAGGTAGTATATCGTATTACTTATTACGTATGTATATAACAACACCATCCAATTAACAATAAGGAAAGTCCAGAGATTTCAGGAATTGCAGGAATTTACATGATTTCTGATCTCAACTGCTGAGAAACGATGGTATACACTTCAAAAAAGGTTTTGACCAATTAATTACAAAGAGTACAAGGATGAAAAGGGTAGCAGAAACATTCTGTTCTTACGCCGGGGAGCACAGTTAAGATACCGCATTATATGGATCCCCATCGTATTATCATTTCATACGTTTTAAGTGAGTGAGTGAGTGAGTTTAGTTTTACGCCGCACTCAGCAATATTCCAGCTTTATGGTGGTGGTCTGTAAATAATTGAGTCTGGACCAGACAATCCAGTGATCAACAGCATGAGCATCGATCTGCGCAATAGGGAACTGATGACATGTGTAAACCAAGTCAGCGAGCCTGACCACCCGATCCCGTTAGTCGCCTCTTACGACAAGCATGGGTTACTGAAGATCAACTCGGATCTTCACGGGTTCCATACGTCTTAAGCACCATCAAAGACAGGTACATATATTTTTTGCCCGACAGTTTATCATTGTGACAAAATGATGTTATTCAACAATATTTCTTGTTCTAACCATAACCATGTCAGGTAATTCTCTGAAAAGGGTGATTTGGCATTAAAGGGAATTATTTAAGTTAAGTAAGAAACGGAACACCCCCATCCCAAACTACTCTCGAAACAAATGTAAATAAACACATACATGTACAATGTAAATGTATACTGACCTTCATAATCTGATGGAATCACAATAGTTTCATCTGTTTCGTTGTACTTTCTGATTCGGGGATCGTACATAACATTTCTCGCCAAGAGTTTCCGCGCTGATCGGGTTTCGAACAGCAGCATTGGCTGTGTCAGATTGACAGGGAGCGGTTTGTCCTTGGTGGTCAGAAGAGTTGATGTACATCTCACAACCTGGGGAAGCGTGAACCGTTCTGTTAGATCCTCCAGAGAGTAAGCCTGGGTACTCCACTGTGCTTTAGGGTCATCCGAGTGTCCGTTACCATTAACGCCATTCCTCTTAGAGGACGTTTTGGAGCGACTGCTCATTGTGGCTCTTCAGTCAGACGACAACAAACGACAGACGAATTAACAGACTGTAAACATCAGATCTGTTGACGACTATCAGATGTTATGTATTCCAAACGTGTTTATGAAATTAAGGTGAAGGTTGAACTAAAGCCTTCCACCCTTCGCCGGTTTCACTGAACTATTCACGTGCCAGTGAAACTGGTAAGATTTTACTGATTAGCCCTCAGCACAAGCAGACGACAGTTGAAAGAGCAGACGACAGCGTATCGTCTCATCAAAATAGGACAGCCGTGTTGGCTTTCTGTCAATGAAGTATCCGTAAGTAGGACAGGCTTAATGAAGGGAGGCGATATGAAACATCCGTCAGTGTTTTTGTGCTCAAATGTTGTGTTGCCAGTAGGATGGCCATCAAGCTACATTGCAAAGTCACTCATGTAGAAAGTTAAACTCCCTATGCTTAAACCACCGTACAGGTGTGTAGATATCTTCCCCACGTCTGTTCCGCTTAGAGCTCTCGGTTCGAAGACCAAACACGGTCGATTTTATCCCCAAATAACAGCAGGCAGACAAAAGCTCTCATTTGGTGTGGCCGTACAGTTACGGTACAAGAACATCAATGGGGATTCTTAGCATGAGTAACCACATTCACCGCTTTCACAATAACACACAACACAAAGGGAGGCAACTGCTGACACGTCAAATTATGTATTACAGCGGTAAGCCCCCGGTCAAGAGAACCAATCAATGCAGCTCTTTGAAACCTTAGCAAATACCTACACATTGAAGAACAGTGTATACCACGTAAATATGAACTCATAACTTAGTATTGAATGTAGACTCTGTGTATTCGAGCAGCGTCTTATTGTGAAGATGAAGCGTGGTAAAAGTGGGTTGTGTACCTATAACGTTTATAAATGAGTAGCTATGATAACATTCCTGAATATAAGAATAGGTGATGTTCTTGAAAAAGAGGCAGGTCTGCCACCTGAAACTACATTTCAAATCTGCTACCATATTTTGTTATGTTTTTTGTTTTTTTATGATATAGCTACTATCACTTAGCGTATGTGGTGCAGTGTTCACATTTTGACAAAGGCATGAAGCCAAAACATATTTCACTAAATTTGATTCAACATGGTAACACACCAATCGTAGATTTAACATTCTATACTGGCACACTGTCTAAATGTATACGTCGTGTAAATTGTCGCAGCTGTCTAACTGAATAATAAAGTTTTTTTGAAGCATTTATTATTAGGGGAATTGAGCATATTCTGTAGCAAAGGAGTAGGTAGAAATGCCTTCCCTGTTAATGGAGAGACCCATCCCCATTCTGATATGTTCATGGGGGAAAAACGTGGATGTGTGAGATATATGTGACCCATCATGAATGAGGTTGTACCTCTTTAGGTCAATGTCAACTTGGGCAACTCATCTTGACACGTCTGAACGACCTTCGTGATAACTTGTTTGTTGTTTAACGCCACACTGCGCAATATTCCAGCTATATGACGACGATCTGTAAATAGCCGAGTCTCGCCCAGACTTCCAGTGATTGATATCATGAGCATCGATCTGAACAATTGGGATACGATGACATGTGTCAACCAAGTCAGTGAACCTGACCGACTGATCCCGTTAGTCACTTCGTACGACAAGCATGGGTTGCTGAAGATCAATTCTAACCCGGATATTCACGGGTACGACAAGTGTAGGGTGAGTGTAACGGATCCTTCGTGGTAAGTCGGGTACGGTCCACTTCAGAGTGAAATAACTATTTCATAGGTCGACAAAACGAACGTGATTGAATTGTTCTAGAATCCCAACTCCTACAACTAAACTCGTACCTACTGAAGGTCACGAATATTCACTATAGAATATCATTTCATATACACAGGGTGAGTGGGTGAGGTTTTACGTCGCTTTGAAGACTATAGTGCAGCCATGTTGTGATATTCCATAGATAAACCTCACGTGGCACGTAAACAAGTGCCATGGGCGACCTAATGTTTTTTGGATCTAAAATAAATAACACGAACACGTGCTTGAGTAACTGGTATTAGATAGACCGGATACAAGATACATAATGACACGTGTAACGTGATCGGAAAACAAGCAAGTTAGGGCCGACATTGAACATTTATGAAGCAGAAAGATGTTTAAGTAGGCCTTCTATATAAAAGAAACAGCCATACACTATCGAAGAAATATCTCGGGTGATTACAGCCCTGTGTGGAGACTGATCCCCGTGGGGCTACATCCTACACATGGTATAAAAGCTTGCTTCACAACCATGGTGATGGGCTTACTGTATCCGTTTTGCATAAGTTTATGACTTTCCGTTTGTGGACTGAATAATTTGGATTGCCGAATAAACTGGCGAGCAGATTAGGACCTTGAAGCAAATGGCATTTTCTGTTGTCGATGTCTTTTGTAAACATCATAAACAACAAGTACTCATTTGATAAAGCGAAATAATTTTGATTGTTTTTGAAAAATAAAATTACATATAAAAAAGACAGAACAAATTAAGAGTCTCCACGCAGAGACTTATACAAGTAAAACATCTGACTAAAACTATACTGTTAATCAAGAACACGTGTAAATAATAAAAGCAAACAAATAAAGAGAAATGTAATTTGATAAAGAAAAACACCCAGCATATCTATTCTGAGTTATATTTATAGCATTTACATTCTGTTTCTGTCTCATGTTATCCCTCCGGTAACGCGGACATGGATTTGTATTCATGGCTGAAGAAATTTACACTGTAACGCCCGCGAGTGAACATATCTGTTGCCTTCAAGCAAATCTGCAAAACGGAGATTACATTTTAACATATCATTATGCACAACCGTTTCGGAAGAAATAGAGGCTATCAATATGCCTTGCGAGGATCACTCCCACCCACGTCTGTGGCTGTCTGGTAACCACCCCTCCACCCACTCAGCCCCCATCCACATGTCTGGGCATCGGGTGACAGAAGCCTCCAGCAGTGTCACGCCACCCATCCCACCCCCTCACTGTCGAGAACAATGGAGAGATGGGCGTGACAAGTCCTTTGTATGACCTCAGAGCATTATGACGCAGCATATGGGACTTGCGAGGTACAATCGGCCCACCTCGACCCTTTCCGTAACCGCACAGAAAAATAATATTTTCAACGGCCGATCGTGTTGAAAATGAGGCGGTGTACACATTAAAATATAACGTACACAACAGTACATGGGCTTGTAACAATCTCCATTGTTAATTTGTGTATTGTGATTAGCAACATACTCTTTTGCAATTGATACGCAGTCTTGATTGTTGATTATCTACATTTGAAACTGACCTATTGTTGATTAGTGTATTGAGATTGGAAACAGATCTATCGATTGATTATACACTTTGTCTTGAAACCGTGATTCCCACACTACAATATATATTTCTAACAGAATGTATCTTTCTTAAAGACTAACTAGGCTTGGGCAAAATGGCAGTCCCAGCAAATTTGAATGAAGGCCCTCCATGACCAGTGTCTGCTAGCTCACAAATAATATACATGTACTCAGAATTATTGTCAATGACTACCGAAGTTACACGGTACAAAATTGATCAATGCGGCGTTAAACAACAAGCAAACAAACAAACAAACAAACCGAGATTACAAGGAGCCAATATAATGTCTTTACACAATTTAAAGTGCAGATTCCGGGACTGGCTAGACAATGGCCACAAGACCTGAGGGGCGGTGGGGTAGCCTAATGGTTAAAGCGTTGGCTCGTCACGCCGAATACCCGGGTTCGAATCCCCACATGGGCACAATGTGTGAAGCCCATTTCTGGTGTCCCCCGCCGTGATGTTGCTGGAATATTGCTAAAAGCGGCGTAAAACCAAACTCAGTCAGTCAGTCACAAGACCTGAGGACAGACCCCCCTTTTACTTATCTCGTGGCCTCTCGTCTGTTGGTTCGTGCGTTATGCATGGTCAACACGTGTAACACAGGTGTCTCCTTTCATGCGATGAGCTGATACGTGCTGTCATCACGTATGAAATTCCGGACCATGGGTCTAGTATAGGCAGCTAGTAGACGTCCATACGTACGTATTACTTAGCAATAAAGCAACATTGTGAACAAGGTTTGATTAGGCGGTATTGTTTAATATGTAAAACATACTAATATATGTTCCAGTAGAACTCCCAGTTTGGAAGGTCGAGTCAATTCAGTTATGCTTATGCCAGTCTGTTTTCCAGAACATTCTGAAGTCATTGCTCTTAGTGGAAGTGTCACTAACGACCTGATCTCTGTATATCGGCACAATCAGTGGTTGTACAGGGCGACTGGTTTATCAAAGAGTCCACCTCCAATTGGTGGCCTTTAGTCAGTTCTATATCACGTCAGGATATCGGTAGTAATCAATCTGGGAAGAAATATTTGGATAAAGAGTGCGAGTATTTCAGTTTTGTCACAGCGTGTCAGGTCGGTTCGGAGAAATGTCCAAAGTGATGGTGGATTTAGACGTTTACCACTGATGAACAGACGAATCTGGGAATCGTGCACATAACGCGCGGATCGTGGTATTGCCAAGGGAGGCAACTCAGAAAATTATGTCGCCTAGACTTGGGCCAACTAAGAAATGATGAGGACAGAAAGATACTAAATGGACACGAAACGTCCACATACAATATGTCAGACATGAACTGTTGACATGAACCATGAATATAGCCACAGCGTCACGAGTATCAAAGTTTCGCTGGAACAGTAACTGCTTTTCAACCTAGATACCAGGTGAATGAATGAATGGTGTTTTCAGCCACCATCACAACTGCGAGTTATTATAGGTACTAGGGTAAAACCGGGTACTGGGGACGTACTCCACTTGGAAATCCGACAGGGTTCCTGGAAATCAAAGCTGTCTAGTATCAAACATACAATTTTAGATTTGACCACTTCCTTAAAAAACATGGACTGGGTATCGAGCAGCGGACAACCATTTTTCCGTAACCTTGGTGAGTTAGTCGGTGATTTTGTGTGCGAACGTGGAGGTGCACGTATGTTAATGCGTGTGCGAATCCCGTTTAAGACGCCACCTAAATATGCATTAGATTATTTTCTTTCCTGAAAAATTGCAATCTCAAATAGCATGTGTTACATTCAAAGACATTTTTAAACGTCCTGTTAATCATTGCTTTGACGTGTCGGCCTTGCCCGGCTATCAGACAAACCGCTTAGCCTACACCATGGATAGCCCGATAGGAAATATAACGGTCTGGCGTCACTATACACGCAGTGGTTGCCCTTAACCCTGAAATGTTGCAGGCCCTAAGGACCCAGAGCCATATAAAGTTGTGGGTCCTGATCAGAATGGGTAGGCCCTATATTTCAATATTGGGGATGAAAAAGCTTTCGGCCATAAGGACCTACAGAAAACAAAAGCTGTGGGTCCGAGTGGTTTTCAGTCGGCTTCGGGCCTATAAGGACCGACGTTAATTTCGAACGCTGTATACAGGTAAACATCTCATGGTAAGCCTTAAAAGCAATCGGAACAATCCTCTTATGGAGGACTTGAGGACTTATACAGAATTGAACACTACATAATTATATTGATTCAAATTTCGGTTT